GCCCCGGGCTGCCTGCCAAGCAGAGGGCCCCATGAAGTTGCCAGGACTGGCCCTCCTGTGCCCTCTGCCTGGCTTTGAACTGGCCTTTGGACTAGCAGTCCAGTGCTTAGATGGGGGGTTTTCCTGGTCCTGTTTTGGGCATGAGAAAGACGAGGGCTGGGTGTGTGGGTGTGGTGTGTGTGGGTGTTTTGAGGATTGGTGTCAGCATCACTGACCTCCTGTCTTTGACGGGAGGCCGGGGTCTGGTGCAAACCTGGGAGGGACCCAAGTGCTTCCAAGGGAGGTCAAGGCCCCACAAGACCTGACAGGCCACGTTGAGACACAGCTTGAGCTGTCTTCTTCTTCCCTTCAGTTCTTACCTCGGCACCCCTTGCTGACCCTCGGGAAGGCCTCTCTCTGCCCCCTGCTCTGACTTCTGAGCCCAGGCCACTTGCCATATGCCGCCCAGGCTGTGTGTGGGGCGAGGCCGGCTCCCTCTTGTTGGGTTCATGAGCACCTTCCTGGGGGCTGGCTGCCCTGAGTGCCCACCTCACAGAGGGACTGCTGGGGTCAGTACGGGGTGCCATGGGGGCATCTCAGGCTTCGGGCTGTGTCCTGTATGTGGCTTCCCCTGCATGTGACCCACTATAGGCTCTAGAAGGGGCCGGTCTCACAGGGGCAGGGGCAGGGGCTCTGAACAGTGACCGATAGCCCGCAAGGGACCGCCTAAAGCAGCCTGTGTCACTGGGTCTGTTTGCAGATTTTGACTTCAGTGTTCCGGGGTCCATGAAGCTTCATAACCTCATCTCCAAACTGAAGAAATGGATTAAGATCCTGGAGGCCAAGACAAAACAGCTCCCCAAGTTCTTCCTCATCGAGGAGAAGTGCCGCTTCCTGAGCAACTTCTCGGCGCAGACCGCCGAGGTGGAGATCCCGGGCGAGTTCCTGATGCCAAAGCCCACACACTATTACATCAAGATTGCTCGGTGAGTGCCGAGGGAGACCTGACTCCCCCCACCCCACCCCTGGCTCTGAACGTGTCTGCCTCCGGAGAACCTGGCGCAGCAGAACCAGAACATTCTGGCAGCCGGCGCCAGTGGCCGGCCTTGGTGCCTTCCGTGAAAGATGTAGGCTGTGCTCCGCTGGGGCCTCTCCTAGGTGGGATGTGGAGCTCCGCTGCTCTCAGACTGCTCCCTTCTGTGCCCGAGAGGGGAGGGTCCTCCTGCCAGACCCTCGTGCCACAGTTTCTGGCTCCTAACTGTCCTAATGGCTCTCGGCCAGTTTCTTTGACACTGTAGCTTGGTGTCTCACTGCCACGGGTCACAGACACCAGTGTGCACTCCCAGCGCCCCACGTGAGCTAGAGGAGGACCATGCTCTGCTGGTGTCTCAGCTCAATCGCCGGCCTTCCTCCCAAGGAAACCCTGGCTGGACTCAATCCGCCTGCTTTCTGGTAGCTGCCAAGCACTTAGCCCTTAGTGACCACCCAGACAAGCCATTGCCGGGCTGCTGGTGGGTCGGCGGTAGTGGTCTCTCCTTGCGTGGGAGGCCCTGCTTCAGCTCCTGGCTGACGAATCTCGGGCGCAGCCCCCGCTGGCTGTCGTCAGAGAGCTCACCAGGCGTCCGCAGAGCCAAGGAACCCTGCAGTCACAGCAGTGTGACCTGACACGGGACGGGGCAGTGGCTCATCCTCTTGTGTGGGGGGTGAACAGATCACCCGCCACGCTGCACATGCACCCTGTCGCCCGCAGGTTCATGCCCAGGGTGGAGATCGTGCAGAAGCACAACACAGCCGCCCGCAGGCTATACATCCGCGGGCACAACGGCAAGATCTACCCATACCTGGTCATGAACGACGCCTGCCTGACCGAGTCGCGCCGCGAGGAGCGCGTGCTGCAGCTGCTGCGCCTGCTCAACCCCTGCCTGGAGAAGAGGAAGGAGACCACCAAGAGGCACCTGTTCTTCACAGGTGGGGGGGGGCGCGGGCGAGGCCTGGGAGCCAGTGTGCCGGTGGGCAGCCCCGCGGAGGGCTGAGCAGGAGCTCTGAGGAAGCTGCCTCCGAGGGGTTTTCCTGGAACTGTGCTGTCGGGAATGGGGCTTGTTTGTGGCGCTTGGTCTCTGTGCCGAGACAAAGAACCCCAAATCTCACCCAGAAAAGGGCTTCCTGGGGCAGCCAAGGTCACCCAGCCCCCTTGATGTGGACTCGCTGAGCCCCTGCGGGCAGGGTCCTTGACACGAAGCATGAGCAGGGGACACAGGACCTGCTGTGGCCTTACTGCGCACACGAGCATCCCCACCGTGGGCGGCCAGCTCCTGTGCCTTTCCCAGGGACTCTTCTTGGCCACTGAGCGAGCGCCCAGAAATATGCCCGAGCATGTAGCTTACACCCTTGTGGCCATCCCCGTCCGCAGAGACCCGGGCCCCGCTGCTGTGACCCTCACTGGCTGGACTTAGTCTCGCCTCTGTCTTGGCCCATGTGATTCATCAGCAGTGCACCTGGTGCAGGGTCTCTCTGGGTGAGGCATTGGTCTGCTGACCCCCAGGTCTGTAGTTCAAACACCCCAGCTGCTCTGCTGGAGAGACGAAGCGGTCTGCCTGGGTACAAATATGCAGCCTTAGAAAGCCTTGCACCCACCGGGTGTCGTCCAGTCGAATCCCTCGCTGGCAGGTCCTGTCGCACATGGACGAGGCAGCAGCACTCAGACTCGGCCCCGGGCCAAGAGCTGGCCTTGCACCATGCACACGGACGACTGTGTCATGGAAGGCCGGTTCTTCACACCCCAAGTGTCCAGTGCAGAGCAGCCACTGTGGGGACGGGTTTATTGGCTGCCCCTGCTCATCAGTCTGAGTCACGGGGGACAGACCTGGTCTGAGTCCCTGCTGACCTGGCTCTCCCAAAGATGGCGAGTGTGGTCCTTCCGGAAGCCGGGAGAGCAGCTCCACGGTTACCCAGGGAGCGAGGGTGGGTAGAGTCTTGTCCATCCCTGCCCACTTCTGCTTGCGGAGTGCACGTATGGGGCTGGAGCACCCCCAGAAGTGCCTGGGAGGTGACCATTGATGCTCTCTCACTCTGCCCTACACCCCCAGTCCCCCGCGTGGTGGCTGTGTCCCCACAGATGCGCCTGGTGGAGGACAACCCCTCCTCCCTGTCCCTGGTGGAGATCTACAAGCAACGCTGTGCCAAGAAGGGCATTGAGCATGACAACCCCATCTCCCGCTACTACGACAGGCTGGCCACGGTGCAGGCCCGGGGCACCCAGGCCAGCCACCAGGTACAAGGGTGGGGGTGGCACTGGGCTGCTAAGGTCACAGTGTGTAAAACAGCAAGCTTTTTCCGGGGGTGCATTCAGATTCACAGTGACTTCATCAGGTTTGTGAGCAAGTGGTAATTAGGAGCCTCATGGCGTAGTAAGTAGGCTGTGCTTCAAACTACAAGGTTAGAGGTTCAAATCCCTCAGCTGCTCTGATGAGGGAGGAAGATGAGGCTTCTGTTTCCATAAAGGCTGATATTCTTGGACACTCAGAGGGGCACTTCTGGTCTCGGTGAGCCAGGATTGACTGGTTGGCAGTGAGCTTGAGTTTTGTTGCAGTTTGCCATCCAGCAGGTATCATTGCATTTCTACGGTGACCTTGACACACCCTTTCAATTTTGGTGAAGTTTTTGTCATCACGTTGATTGCCTATGTTTGGGATTGGTGCCCACTCTGGTGTCTTGTTCTGAGAGCTGAGTTCTCTCTCACATTTGGGCCTCTGACCCACCCTCAGTTTGTTGCTGGGTGCGCTGTGAGTGCTGTGTGCGCTGTGAGTGCTGTGAGTGCTGTGTGCGCTGTGAGTGCTGCGTGCGCTGCGTGCGCCGTGTGCGCTGGGTGCGCCGGGTGCGCTGGGTGCGCCGGGTGCGCCGGGTGCGCCGTGAGTGCTGTGTGCGCCGTGTGCGCTGTGAGTGCTGTGGTGCGCTGCGTGCGCTGGGTGCGCAGGGTGCTCTGGGTGCGCTGTGAGTGCTGTGTGCGCCGTGTGCGCTGTGAGTGCTGTGCGCGCCGTGTGCGCTGTGAGGGAGGGTCCAGCTCGAAGCTATCCCGTGTCGTGTCCAGCTGGCCCAGCACAGTTTACTGGAAGACTTCACACGTTTTCCAGTGCTGGTCGGATCCAGCCTTCAAACCCCAGGCGGCCTGGGCTCATCGCTGGGCTGCTTACCCGAGGACCCTAGCTGAGGCCGCCTGCTTCAGGAAAGACTGACGAGCCCAGAATGCCCGTGGAGTAGCCCTGCTCTGTCCTGTCGGGGGCTCGAGGAGAGGTGGAGGCCTAGTGCTGTATGCAAACTTGAGGGGTGGCCACCTGGGAGGCCCCCTCCTCACCATGCACATCCCTGTGTGCACGCCAGGGAGCACACACGCACACCTTGTTGAGAGGGTCACCCTGCTGGTGCATATGAGTGTGGAAACACAACTTGGAGGGTTTTGAAGAAGAGGAATGCTTTCTCTCGGTGGCATCATGGGTCACACGTTGGAACCCCAACTGCTTTGCAAGAGAAAGCTAGACTTCCTGCTCCTATAGGGTCTTGGGAGCCCACGGGGGCAGTTGTGCCCCGTCCCACAGCGTCGCTGTGAGTCGGCGTCAGCTCCCTGGCAGGGAGTGAGCGTGGGTTTGTTAGTGAGCTAGAGGAAGAGCTGTGGCTCAACGAGGGCCGCTGCCCCGCCGCTTGTTCTCTGAAGGGGTGTGGTGGGGTGGGGCGGGGCTGCCCTCACAGCGTGTGTCCCCGTGCTGGCGCAGGTCCTGCGGGACATCCTCAAGGAGGTGCAGAGCAATATGGTGCCACGCAGCATGCTCAAGGAGTGGGCACTGCACGCCTTCCCCAGCGCCACCGACTACTGGACCTTCCGCAAGATGCTGACCCTCCAGCTGGCCCTCATCGGTTTTGCCGAGTTCGTACTGCACCTGAATCGGCTCAACCCCGAGATGCTGCAGATTGCTCAGGTAATGGCCGCACAGCCAGCCCGGCTCCCCCGCTGCCCCCATCCTGGCCACTGGCACACAGAGACCAGACGCTTCTCTCCGGGACCCAGGACACCGGCAAGCTGAATGTCGCCTACTTCCGGTTTGACATCAACGACGCGACCGGAGACCTGGACGCCAACCGCCCTGTCCCGTTCCGCCTCACCCCCAACATCTCTGAGTTCCTGACCACCATTGGGGTCTCCGGCCCACTGACTGCGTCCATGATCGCCGTCGCCCGGTGCTTTGCCCAGCCAAACTTCAAGGTCAGTCTCCCTCTCTCCCACCCAGCAGGGCTGGGCTGTAGGCCAGGGAGGGGCCCAACAGCTGGTCAGAGGTGTTCCCCGGCTGTCACTGCTCTGCGGTGATGGTGACCACCCTAAGTGATTACTCCTATGGCCCCACACCTGACAGCCTCCAGCCTCCATCGTGTGGGGAGCCGTGTGTCTAAGGTACACCTCCGCGGGGTTTGACCTCTCCTCATGGTTGGGGACTGGGCACTGTTTTGCTTGGTTTCTTTTGTCCTAAAAGAATGGGTGTGACCCCACCCCCCACCCCTGGCAGGGAAGATGTCAGACACCAGCGACCCATCGAGGGGTGTGGGGTAGGTTGAAGGTGGTTGCGCACTGCACCTCTGCTGAGTGCCTGGACATGGCACCCACGGCCGTTTGGTGCAACAGCAGACATAGTGGACATGAGGGCCTCTGGGTCTCGTCCTGTGTCCAGCTTGACCTGACCCCGTGCTGAGGGTCCTGGTCATCTGCACTCAGGTAGAGAAACCTGCCTAGGACCCCTGAGGTGACGTGTGACCTGTGGGGTCTCAGATTGTGATGTTAGATGGAAGAGGCTCGGCCTGGCTCCTGAGACCCCTCTGCCTACATCAGCCTTGCAGGCCTGACTCTGTACCCAGAGCACCTCTGAACTGACCGCTCTTCCCCACCCGCCCTCACAGGGCTCAGGCTCCACCCTTCTGCGTCCTTCCGTGGCGGTGCGCGCGCGCACACACACGCACCCACACGCACCCCACGCACTCTCTCTCTCTCTCTCTCTCTCTCTCTCCATCCACGCTCCTCCTCTTGCCCCGGCCTGTGTGCTGTCCAGCCAGCTCCTGGCTGCCCTTGCCTCACCGCCGCTCTCCCGCAGGTGGACGGCATCCTGAAGACGGTGCTGCGGGATGAGGTCATCGCGTGGCATAAGAAGACCCAGGAGGACACGTCCTCCCCGCTCTCGGCGGCCGGGCAGCCGGAGAACATGGACAGCCAGCAGCTGGTCTCCCTCGTCCAGAAGGCCGTGACGGCCATTGTGACCCGCCTGCACAACCTGGCCCAGTTTGAGGGCGGGGAGAGCAAGGTGAACACCCTGGTGGCCGCGGCTAATAGCCTGGACAACCTGTGCCGCATGGACCCTGCCTGGCACCCGTGGCTGTGACGTGGCGTCCTGCTGTTGCTGCGTGAAGACGGGCTCTGAGCCTTCGGCGCTGCCTTCCTGGACCAGCTCCCCACCCCCCTCTTGAATTATTTTTATCGTGCCCCCCCCCTCCCACCTTTGTGAATGTACAGCTGAAACTGTCTGCCGTCCAGCAGCCTGCACGGAACCTAGAGGCGCGCTGGCCACATGGACGGACATCTGTGGGGCCGGTGGGGTGCCCTCCAGCCTTGGGTCTCCCCAGAGCTGGCAGGTGGCCCTCGGAGCGGCTTCTCTGGGTGTCGGGCATGTGGTCTGCCACTGTACTTGGAATTGCTTTTCCTCCCTAATTTAAGAAAAAACAGGAACAAGCGTTCTCAGCCATGGGTTCTGTTAGGCCCGCGTTTTATAAATCTGCACAGTGAGATGTTCTATTGAAATTTGTACAGTGTGATTTTTTTAGAATAAATGTTTTATAAAAGGGGTCGTCCTCCTGTCTGTGTGTCAAATCCTGGTTTCTGGTAATGAGGTGATGGGGTACAGGTCAGAGGTCGTCACCAGGTGACGTCAGATGTGGACACAGGTGCGCTGGGAGGTGTTGGTCACCAGGGGCCAAGGTGGGTTGGCAGGTGCCATGTGTGCGGGGAGATGGGTGGCCTTGGCCTCATCTGTCTGCACTGGGATGGCTACAGGCCAAGCGGGAACCTGCCTATGGACAGGAGGACGGTCACTCTGGACGTCGACGGCAGAGGCGACAGACAGTGGCTCTGAGTGCTCACGAAGCCACCTGTGGACTCTGAACCACTGTGGCCAGAAACCGTCACACAGCTCATGGCGGCTCTGCGAGGGACCCTCGGCCCTGTTGTCCAGGCTGGCACCACAGGGAGTGGTGACCTGCAAGCAGCATTTGCAGAAACTGCACCCTGAGGAGCAACGTCAGGGGAGCAGCCTGGACGTAACTGTGAGTTACTCTGAGGAGTCTCGGACACTGCGGGGCCTGCACATGGCAGCTAGCGCAACGGGGGTGGGGTCGCCCCTTGAACTGCTCCACCATGCATGCGCACTGGGGGACAGCACTGAGCGTCCTGGGGGCTGTGGGCCCAGACGGAGAGGATGTTAAGGAAGGGTAACACCCGTTTCTGAGTTGTTGCCAGTTATAGAGAGGCCTGAGGTGTGGACCCCAGCCATGCTGTCCTGCTGTGCCCAGAGCCCACGGGGGCGTTAGACCTGAGGGGCTCACAGGCCCCTGGGTTCCAGCAGGCTCGGGCCCAAGGCCCGTGTTGGGGGTCACAAGCAAACAAGCCTTGTGTTGGAATAGTTGGTCTGTGGGCCCTTGCTCCCATCTGGTGTCAGGGGGGCCCTGGCGCCGAGAGTCAGGTCAGTGCTCATGGAGCCCCAAATTCCCAGCTCCATGGCCCCACTCTGCAACTTCCCAGCATCCTGCCTGCACCCCACCTATGAGTACTTCTATAAGGTCCTTGGGGACCGAAGCCGGGAGCCATGGAAGTTTCTGGAAGCAGCTTTCTCCCCGGGCCCTATGTCTCCTCCCAGCTCCCCAAACCTTCGAGGTAAGTACTGCTCACAAAATACTTTATTCTCAAATTTCTTTTGTTTTTAATTGCCATCTCTTCACTCAAGTTAACACTTGTCTACCCTTCTGCCTGTGATGTCCCTTGTGTGCCTGGCAGTCATCCAAGAGTGCTTCTCTTCCGTGAGAACCGGTTCCCTGGTCCTTCAGTAAAAGCCTCGTACAGCAGTTGTGATCGACCACTTCACGCGGTGCCGTGTCCTCCAGCTCAGTCCACCAGGTTTCACAGGCTCATCGTTACTCTTGGCCTTCCTGTGTGTCTGTTGGACTTACACAGCGATGCTCATCAGTGCTATCACCGTGGCCATGTGGGTGATTTCATCCTTCTGCTATTGTGAGGAGTGCTGCCGTGAACATGGGGGGTGGGTGGGAGGTGGGACGTATCCATCCATGTGGCTGCCTTATTTCCCTAGAACGTTTATATGGTACATGTTTGCCAGGTAGACACATCATACCAAGTTAGAGGAATTGCTGGGTCGTGCGGGATTCCTGTTCCCAGCTTTGTGTGGAAGAGGCGCTGACGGGTCACGCTGCGTCATCTCACCAGCAGCGATGAGCTTGGGTTTCTTCCCAACCTCACCAGGATTTTACAGATTTTAACTTTGCTACTAATGTTTTGATTTGCATCTTTCAAATGGCTACTGATGGTGTTTCTTTGGGAACTGCCTGTTCATGTTGTCTGCTCATTTTTTAATTATTTGTTTTCTGATTGAAGTTCTCTATGGCTTGTAGATTACTCCCTTGTTGATACAGTACCATCCCTGTCCCCCTGGTTTGTGCCTTCTTTTTACTCTTGATGAACTCTACGGTGCACCAAAGTGTCTTAATTTTTAGGAGGTCCAGCCATCCATTTTCTCTAATGCTGTGTTTTATGATGTGTTTATGCCATGTATTAGTTGGGCCTGATGTTTTCCATAGATTATCTTGATAGCATTCATGTTGGCATCAGGTCTTTTGAACCCTCTTGAGTTCTTCATTTTGTATAGCGTGAGATAGGGCTCCGTTTCTTCCTTCTGCAAGTGGAGATCGAGACAGTCCTTTTCTTACTGTTTTTTGTTTTTTTTAAAGGGGAGAGCGTGAACGCAGCACTCCAATACCACAAATCATGCAGTTGAGTTTCCCCGCATTTGGGGAAATCGCAGGGGTCAGCACAGCTGGAATGCAGTGGGTGAGCCTCGCCCTGGGAAACCACCTCCCCTGCAGGTAAGTATGGGCAGTCCTTTTCTTGTCATGGGTTGTTGGTTCTGGATTTACTTTGGGGTTCTCTGATCTATTGGCCTGTCTCTCATTGGGCAGCTTTACCTGTTGGAGGTTTGGAGACTAGGAAGTGAGGTCCGGATCTTTTTCCTTAGTGAGTTGCTTATCCAAAATGTCTTTCCTCTCTACAGAACGTTGGTGTTTGGTTGGTTCCTCATCCCTTTAAAGAGTGGTGCTGGACTATGAATCAGGACCACCTTGAACTTGTAGACTCTTTTGGGTGCAATTGGCATTTTTGATGTTGGTCTTCTAATCCAAGAGCGTGGTCTACTCTGGTTTATGTAGGTCTCTCCTGGTTTCTTAATAGGGTTGCATTGTGGTTGTCCTTGGACGGGGCTTCGTTTCTCGGGCCGTTTATTCCGAAGTGTTTCCTTTTCCAAGTGGCAAATGGCATAGCTTTCCTTTTAGCCCGCAGGAACCCGGTTTTGTTTGTTGGTCTTCTGCCCTGGCGCCATTGTTACAGCTAATGGACTCAGCTAAGTCTTTGGGATTTGTTTTTGGTTTTTAAGTCGTCATAATATCTCCAAGAGTTTGACTTCTTGCTAATTTGGATGCCTTTAATTTCCCTCTCCAACTATTACATAGTTGTAGTTAGCTACTATCAAGCTGGTTCCAACCCATAGCGACCTTGTGCATCACAACCGAATGAAGCACTGCCCTGTCCCAGGCCAACCTCACAATTATGATGGAGTTCAAGGGGGTGTTGTCAAGCCAAGCCCCAGCTACCCTGTCTCCTCTGACAGCTTTTGTTCAGCTCCTCTTAGCCAGTAATCCATCCGCTTCTTCCTCCTTCCCGTGAAGCTCAGGATTCCAGGATTATCATCCGGGTCTGTTTCTCTTGGTCTCTCGTGTCTCCCTCAGGGAGGGGCTGGGTAGTGTGCTGCCTAGTCTGCCATCTTGCTGGAAGTCCTCTATTGATTTCCTCACTGAGCTCATGTTTCACTTTCACTTTTAGTCGAGGCGTGGAACAAGTCCATCCTTCTGTAAAGTACTGCCGTCACCTCAGGGGCATCACTTCGCTTCCCTCCATGTTCTCTGCACCCAGGAAAGGGAGCCAAGGTGCCACCCGGCACTCCAGGCTTGAGCTTGGAGCCCGGAATCTCGACATTCAAGGTTGCTGGAGGACATTTGGAGAGAACAGTATACATTCCCAGCAGAGGCCAAGCAAGGTGACATTCACTTCCTTTCAACGCCTGTGGTGGGCACTGGTATAGCTTTTGTGTTTTTGTCAACTTCCTGCAGGACTGGCCAGGGGCTGGGCAGCCTATGTGGGCACAGCCAGTACAACTTTCCTGGGTGCTGGACACACCATCATCTCCTCCTGGCACAGCCCTTGGCTCGCCTTCGTCCCAACAAGGTCTTGCTACCAGGTGTGGTACTTGGACTCGGGCACAAGGTCAGACCCCAGAAGCTTGTGGGTAGTCTGTCCTATCAGCACCCCAGCTGCCACCCCTCACCTGGTCCCCAGGCTGTTGGGTGCATCCAGAAAGCCCTCAGCTATCTGCAGTGGAGGGGACAGGGACAGCGCTTACAGAAACCTGGGTAACATAGCACAGAACCAGCAGACGATAAACACCTTCTTCCCCAAGTGTGGCCCCAGGAGATCAGGGGCCAGGTTCTCCTAAGGGGAGGCCCCTGGCGGCACAGTTGGAATTTGGCCACTAATCTGACGTTGACAGCTCAAAACCACATGGCCGATTCAAGTGGGAGAATGTGCTTCGGTGAAGGAGGCAGCTGGGAAGACCCCACGGAGCAGTTCTGCTCTGCGTCATTCAGGGCCTCATCTGAAGGGATTCCTTTCTTCCAGGCACCGTCCAGGTGGGTTCAGGTGGTCTCCCAGCATGGCCCAGGGGAGCGCAGGATCGTACCTGGGTCGGCCCACTTCACAGAGGGAAACTGACATCTGAGCTTGCCACCCACCCCCCATGCACCCTAGCTTTACAGATCAGGGGACCAGGTCCAGTGTGGCCCCACCACACTGCTCTGTGCAGGGGAGGGCAGAGCTGGCTCCCTGCTCCTTCCTGCCTTGCTGGGTGGGGGCCTCCCAGGCCATGGCTGGTGCTGTGGCCCTGGGCCTGATGTCCCCATGAGCTGGCATGGACTCGATGGCAGTGAATCTGCTTTTGGGCTGTTGCCAGCACCACAAACCTGACTGAGCCCCCAGCTTCCCAGGAGGCGGTACTGGAGTCTTCACCAGTGAGGAAACTGAGGCACCAGCCCAGACAGGATTCTGTCCAGGCCCTCACTGCCAACTGTGCCCTAGCTCCTCTGCCACTCCCTGGGCAGGTGTGAAGTGTGTGTGCCTCGTGTACATTCCCGATCTTCCTGTGAGCTTGCTGAAGCACCTGCGTGTATACGAACAGATCTGTCTAGACTGCGTGTCGGGGGTAAACCAGGGTTCTAGCAAGTCAATATGGCAGCAGGGAGCCGGCCAACAGAGCCCTGTGGATGCTGGCAGTGCCGAGCCACTGCTGGAAGTGGGATCAGGTAAGGGCACTCACAGGTGCCAGCAGACATGCTTGCGACACAATCCCCGCAGGCCCAGGTGTTCCCTTAGTGCAGTGGTTCTCAACCTTCCTCTTGCCACGACCCTTTAATACAGTTCATGTTGTGAAACACCCCCCCCAACCACAAAATTAATTTCATTGCTGCTTCACTGTGATTTTGCTACTGTTATGAATGGGAGACCCCTGTGAAAGGCTCGTTGGACACACAGGTTGAGAACTGCTGCCCTAGTGTGAGGGCAGAGCACAGGCTAAGGTTCACCACCTTCCTCCAGGGGACGGGGGGTGAGGATCCTGCAGTCCCGCCTCCACCCCACAGGACAGACACACAGCTACAAAGGTGAGTTTATTGCATATGTAACAAAATGAACCTGGCCGCCGCCACCTGCTGCGGGGTGTGTGTGTGTTTCCAGCTGGTTCCATGACCACATTAAATAGAACTAGCATTTTTTTAAAATAGTTTTGATTTTGACATAAAACAGAATATTAGTGTACACCTTTCACAAAATAAATCAGCAATAAAAATGGTGGGAAGAGTAACAAGGATAGCAGCAATACTTCAAAACAAGACATTACAAAATAAATTAAAAAATACATTATAAAGTGGTTGATAAACAAAAATAAACCAATCTTAAAAATCCATACTCTGTTGGGCGGGCATCCTCTGCAGGGGCCCTTGCTGATACCTCGGGTGGAGACCCGCCGGCGGGAATGTGGACAGTGGGCGCGGAGGCAAGCCTGCTCCCTGGACGCAGCCTCTGGGCGCTGCTGTCTGTCCTGCAGGGGGCACTGTGGAGGGTGTTCTGCTGTCCCTGAGTGTGGGCTGGGGCCACTCGGAGGAGCTGTCTGCCACGCTGGTTCTTTGGGTAGGTCATGGAGTCTAGACGGTGCAGACGCACAGGGCCCCGGAGTCCTGAGCCCAAGTCCCAAGCCCTCCCGCAGTTTCCTGGGCATCAAAGGACACCCTCCTACTTGAAGCCCCTCAGACCCTGGTTTCCTTCTTGGTGGCCCCGCCGTCTGAAGAGTCGGCCTGGTCTCTGATGGTTCTTCTTTCTCCAGAGGCAGATGCCCAGGGAAGCTGGAGCCAGTCCCAGGGCCCCTCGTGCAGAGCTGCCCAGAGGCCTGCGAGCCGGCCTGGCGGAAAGGGAGCAGCCCGGGAAGAGCAGCTGCCTGCCTCCGACCAGCACGGAGCCCAGAGTTCGTCTTGGACACGGTGCCGGCAACACATCCTCGTGCTGGAGCCGCCGGACTTGGGTGCACTGACCAACGGCATCTGCCCAGTCCCCTCAGGTGGGGACGTCCTCGGGCTCAGTTCTCACCGAGCCGGCAGCGAGAACACAGTGCGAGGATTTCAAGTAAGTGGCGCAGTGGCAGATGGCCGGCCGGGGCTCTAAGGCGGTTCGGTCTGTTCACTGGGCGATGTGGCAGAGAGGAGTCTGGAAAGGACAGGTGGTTCTTCTCTGCACAGCGGAACGCACAGCCCGCAGCCCCTGTGGGGCGGGGCTCCTTCAGTCAGACGCCGTCCCCATCAGCACGGACCTTCCTGTGTGACCCTGGCTGCCTTTATTGGATGGGTGATGGAGGGTGGGGGTATCGTCAGAGCGGAGAAAGAGGGGGACCGCCCCTTCCCCAGCACGAGCGAGCGCAGCTTGCATGCAGGCCGGCGGGCCCGAGCGCTGAGCCGCTCTCACTCCACTGCGAAGCCACAGGTCTCCTCCACGGCCGTCAGCAGCTTCTCGTACAGCTTCTCGTAGGACTCGTATGGCGGGATGTCGATGCGGTTAAAGCTGAAACAGACAGGGTGTCAGTGCTGGGACCCACCAGGGTGGCCCTAAGCCGTATTTGGGCGACACCTGCAGCTGCTCATTGGTCAGGGGGCCCCCAGGGTGTTGGGCAAGAGCCCAACTATGGCTCCAGCCCTTTGGGAAGTAGCCTGCTTACCAGGTGTGGGCCTTGGGCAGGTTGTCCGTGTTTGCGTCAATCAGGTGGATGGTGAAGAGCCGGGGCCCTGCCGCGCCTGTAGAACCTTACACACAGCATTCTAGTTAATGCACCTCAGAGCTGGCCTGCCACCACCCCAGCCACCAGTGCCACAGCGTTCCAAAGGCGCTCCTGACAGTAAGTCGCCCTTCGGGGAGTTGGACTCGCCTGCCTGGTTATGTGAGCACCCTTCATCTCGGGCCCTGTTTCTCTAGTGCTGCCTCACTCACCAGCAGCAGCTCCGGGGAAAGCTTTGTCTCAGAAGCCTCTAGTCTAGAATGACTGAACAGATGCTGGGAGGGGATGGGGGTCCATCAGCACAGACCCCTGGTGGCTTAGATGGGGACAGTGGCCCCTGCCGAGCTAGGACCACTAGGCTTGGAGAGGGTGCGGTGCACCAGGCCGCTTAACGGGGCTTGTGGGAAGATAGAACTAAGGAGCTTTCTCCACAAACTTTATGAAGCCTCTGTGGTGGAGACCCTCCTGCCCTCTGCTGAGGGGGTCTGGGAGGGAGCGGCATGGGTCTCACTGGAGTGACACCCCCCCACCCCACCCCCGCCATGTTCCTCCCTGTTAAAGCAGCTACAACCCGGAGTGTAAGCAGACATGGGGGTCAGGAAGTGGCGACATCGCCCATCTGCCAGGTGAGCCCAAGACGCTTCTACAAGGAGCCTCAGAACACGCCGGTCCCTCCCGCCTCGCCTGCAGTCACCTTGTAGGGCCTTGAAGCCCTGCAGCGGCACTCGAGTGGAGCCGGTGACAAACTGCAGGAGCCGGGCGCGGCGCTCCTCGTCGAAGGCCTCCACGGCCTGCCAGAACCAGCGCACGACGCTGCTGTCGGCCACGCAGTGCTTGAGGCGTGTGTTGGACTTCCAGTCGCCCAGGTCGATCTTGTCCAGGCCGCCAATGATGAGCTAGGGGTGGCGAGAGGTAATGGGCTTCCGGCAGGAGTGCGGGCACCCCGGGGCGGGAGCTGAACGCTTTCCCCCTGTGCTCCCAGGTCACTGCCACCCAAGCGGGTCACCCATCCCGCCTACCTCCAGCTCCTTCTGGTCAAAGGGCTTCAGTAAGTGTTGGGGGATGAGCTCATTGAACCCCTTCTGCAGAGCCAGGAACTGGGCTTCGATGCCTCTCATGAAGCGCCAGTTCACATACAGCCTGAGAGAGAACAGCCACAGGGGAAGGAAGTCTAGGTGGGTCCAGCAGAGGCCATGGGCCCAGGCCACATGAGTGATGCTTCTATGTGCCCGCCGGGAGGGTAAGTAGCTCAGTGTGGCGCGCCTTACCGGACATATTCCTTCTTGTTCTCCTCCGTGACAGGGACATTCCTGCCATTGGGCTTCAGCTCATGCTGGAGGAGCCGGCCGAAGGCGTTGTGCTCCACGCAGAAGGTGTGGTCCAGCACAGGTGTGATGTCGTTCTCCCTGTCCCCACGGGGCACAAGGGGGTGAGCATTAGTGTCTATCTGTGGTCGACAGAGCTGCTGGGGAGGGCAGGTGTGTGTGACGGGAGCTCTGCCCCTGTGATTCACACCCACCACCATGGACTGGGCAGAAACAAGGATACAGCCACAAGGGGCACTAATCTACCAGAGTGGGTACAGGTAGTGGCCATCTGGGTCAGACCTGAGACCTGGTGTTTCCCCCCACTGCTGAGTGTTATGGGTGAATAGGAGGTGGCTGGGGCTCCACCTACAGGATCCACACGAGGCTCTTGTGCAGCTCGGGGTCCACCGACTCCAGGTCCGAGAGCTGAATGGGCTTCCCCAGGAGCTGCTTGTAGAAGGGCACTGTGAAGCCGCCATTGATGTAGTGCCCGTGGAATACAGCCAGGCCCATGATCCGGCCCACGAAGTGGAAGTAGGACAGATGGTCCTGCAGGGGGCGCCAAAGGATGGGGCGTCAGGCGTGCAGGGCTGTCCAGGGCTCAGCTGGAAGCAGCAGCCTGATTCCCTCTGGGCCTCAGAATCACTACCAGGGTCCATCCATGGTGGAGAAAACCGGAAAATCTCACCACAGGGCGACTCACTCCAACCAGCAGGCACACGTTGACCAAGGAAAAGCAGCAGGGACACAGCCCGTGGAAGGATTACTTAAACCAGCGCTGTTCTGAGGGACCTATCCCTACTGGTAAGTCCTCGGAATGATCTGAGGACTCCCATGAAGGACAAGGGACTTGACCGTGGGTCCCCTCCCCAGTGGCTGACATTATGCATCTTATCGGGAACTGAGACAAAATCTATCCAGCACCCTCTCCCACGAGAGCCCACGCCTGCCCGCGCTGGGTGCTCACAGGGTTGATGGCAGAGTCCGGGTTGATCTGCAGTGTGTAGATGTTATCAGTGGAATACTGGAAGAGGCCGTAGTACGGATTCAGCATCTCGTGGCACAGCAAGTAAAGCCACTCCCTGGGAATAACAAGGGGCTGTTACACGCTGCACTGAGCTCCTTCTGCGAGAGAAGAGGGCTCAGCATAAAAGAGGAAGACGTACAGTCTGCAGAACAGACACTTGTGAGGCTGGCACACGGCTGGGTTGGGGTTGCTGGGTCCGACCCTGAGCACAAGTGTGTCTACAGCAGCGGGCCTCAACCTTCTTCCTGCCTCGACCGCTTCAGACAGTTCCTCATGTTGCCACTTTATTACTGTTATAAATAGGGCGACCCCTGTGAAAGGGTCGTTTGACACCCCCCCCAGGGGTCTCGACCCACAGGTTGAGAACCGCTGGTCTACAGCTTTCCCCGTGTCTAAGGTTTATCGGCTGCTTTTCAAAGATCAAAATCCCAGGTAATGTCAACAACCTCATAAAGTCCTCAAAGCACAGCCTCACTTGTATTTGAATGTGTGTGTGTGTTCACAGAGCCTGACCGATCTGGCAGCGAACCACAAGGTCGACTGTTCTGCACTGTGCATCGATGGCAATGAGATGTTTTTGGTGTGTATTTATGTAAGAGAAAAGACTGACACTACAGGGTTCATTAGACAGCCATTTTCAACAAAAACTTATTAAAAAAGAAGGAAAGATCTCAGTGTAGGGAGTTTGAGAGTGATTTTTGCTCTTACACTTAAAATGGACACTGAAGAGTTTAAAAAATCTGGGTAACCACAGAAGTGATTTTTCTCCTTTGTTTGAATCATTTCATTATAAAACTAATATGAACAAGAGAGCAGGTGGTAATAAGCCCAGAGACTGGGGGATCTTGTAAAAATAATGGCAGAGCCACAACTAGCCTTTCAACTGGATGGATATCTCATTAAAGTCACAGCCCTGCCTGGATCTGATGCTGAAATGTCTTTCCCTTCAACAAGTCGGTACCCCACCGACCACGTGCAGCTGAAAGGAACTGCTCCGAAGGCTGAGGCCCGAGCTGCTAGCATGCCAATTTCTCTCCAACTTCTGGTGTTTCAAAGAAGCCAAGGACCTGCCATAGCTCAGACAGGAAGTGACTGATGTGAGCAGATTCTGACGGGCTGTGCACACAGCAAGGGGGCATCTGAGGTGTCACCGCTCACAAGCCGCACAGGAAGGCCTGGCCTGCTGGGGTGCACAACGATTCCATGCACAGCCTGGGAAGATTCGGAGTGAAATAACCAAGCTCAAACCAACCGCAAGTTCTTCCCACTCTGAGCCCTCGTTAAAGCAGTCGAGTGCTCACCAAAAGGTCAGCAGTTCAAACCTACCAGCAGCAGCTCTGAGGGAGAAAGAAGGTGGTTTCTTCCTGCTTCTGTAAAGAGGTATGTATGGCCATGGGGACCCTCTGAAGCAGTTCTACTCTGGCCTGTGCTCGGCACTTAGGGGAAAGGGGTCCCTTTTCTAGGGCAGCCTCTTACCTGGCCACTCCACCATAGTCCAAGCCTTCTTCCCCACGGAACTTCACCATCAGCCGCTTCTTCAAGTCCTTTGGCCGCATCTTCATGATCTGGCGATAGGACTCCTGCAGATAAACACGACCGTGTCAGAGACAGATCCCTCTTCTCAAGTGAAAGGTTAGATGGGTAATGGAACCTCGCTGAGAGTCTGGGTGTCACTGACTTCACATGTCAGTGCCGCCCTGTCAGCCCTTCTCTCTGATGCACAGGCAGACACACGCGGTGCTAGCCCAGCACCCTGTGGGCCAATCAATCCTGACCCACAGTCTCCCTGGGCAGACAGGGCACAACTGCCCCGTTTTTCTCCATGGGAGCAGGTCAACGCTTAACTCGCCGTGCCGTGAGGGCTCCTTCAGGGACTGCTGTGTGAAGAAAAGCAGCTTCCTGTCTGAAGCACCATCGCTCAGGATCAAAGGCGCTGCCCTCCCTGCGTGAATTAACTTTCAAGGGCCTTACAAACCACCTGTCTGTTGTACCCAGGTTGGAACACTCTGGACCTCCGAATCAAGATTCCCACCGAGTAGAAAAGCAGAGGACTTCGGTGAGACAAAGCGGCAAAAAGCCTGCCAACTTCTCCCCCCGAGACATGGTGGCTGGTTTCACTGACAGGCACTTGGAGGTTCGTCTAACTTGAACCCTGCCTTCCCCTGTGGGCATGGAGACAGAGCAGGAAATACTGGGAAATTATTAAAACGTCAGCAATTGCCCGCTTTCATCTGGAAGCCAGTGGGGATGGCTCAATGGCCCCATGGTATTTGGCCACACAGGGCATCGAGGGGCAGCACAGAGCCTGGGCCCTGGTGGTGGGATAAGGCACCCAGTTCCCCCCTGAAGGTGGTTCTCACCTCGCAGCAGTGAGGCCCTTGGCTCACAGATTTGGAGAGAAGGGTCCTGTCTAGAGGGAATGCCTGCTCCCGTCCGAGGAGACAGAGCTCGCTCGGGGAAGGCGGGCGTCAGAGGGTGACGGCGAGGCCGCGGTGGGGATTGAGGGAAAGGCGCAGTAGGCAGGGCTCACCTCGGGACACCAGTGGTCCCTGTTCAGCTGCTACCTAGGAGATTGGTTCTGGCCCACACTTGGCAGTGGACCACAGATAGGCCTGATCACCCGCCGTAGAGGTCATAGCCAAGCCCACGACTCGGGGACACCAGGGGTCGCGATCGAGCCGCCTGCTTCCCCCCCTCCCCCCAAAAGGTCCACCTGAGAGGATGCGGGTCCCTCCTCGAAGCACCTCCTTGAATCCAACACAAGAGGAAACGCACCCCGGGCTCCCTCGGGGGCTGCGCTCAGCTCTGTACCTCAAAGATTTCTTCCCGGGAGACCTCGATGCGGCAGTGGCCGGCCTGGGGTTGCTGCAGGGAGAGCTCGTGTCTGAGGACTTTGAGTTTCTGGACCAGGTCCCGCTCATATCGCTGGGCCGGCAGCTCCTCGTCCTCCAAGGAGCCCTCACTGGGCAGCGGCAGCGGCTGGCTGGGCTCTTTCAGTTGGCACTGGTGACTTGGGAAGAGAAGCAGCCATGTCACTGTGGGGGCCACGGCGAGGGAGCGCTGCCCCCATGTCCCCCAGCGTGGTGCCCGCAGGTGTAAGCGAGGCCGCCATTAGCCCAAACGTGGTGCAGGGAACAACAGAGCGGACAGCTCCGTCCGCTTGTCTCATTCCCTGTCGCTGCCGCTCAGAGAGAGCTGTCGCACAGCAATGGGCTTGAGGGGGACGGCACGGGACCAGGCAGCATCTCGTCCTCGGCAGTAACCAGGGCGGCTGGCTTGCAGTCTTACTTCATGATGTGGTGCAGCCTCGGGTCTGTAAACTGGGTGGTCCGGTTGTTGTGGTCCACAAAGTATATCCTCCCGGAGACAGTACTCCTGACTTCCCAGCCGGGCGGCAGGGGCCCCAGCTCGTCACAGTTCACGCTGTTAAGGTCTCTACCAAAAGGGACAACAGAGGTGGCCGTCAGAGCACAGATGGTGCTCCAGGCCAGCCGGGACGTACACCCCGCTGGCCAGGGGCAGCCGCGCTCACAGGCACACCCAGACTTCCCATGCTGTCTAGCGCGGGAGCAGCTGGCACGCAGTAAGTGGTGACAATGAGAGAAGGCTCTGCAGGCTGTTGGGAAAGCGTTTTGAGAAAGTCAGGTCAGAAAGGTGTCTCTGGGGAAAGCTACTGTCAGAGTACTGGGAGCTCAAGTGAGTGACCAACAAGTGCAAAGTCTGGCATGTGGGGACGTAAGTGACATGGGCAGGCCCTTCAGGCGGCGTGCATGGGGCAGGTCAAAGGGCCTGGGCATTACCAGGAAGGCTGAGTCTCAAAGGGAAAGTAGCGGTTTTAATGTGGAAAGCACAGGGCTGGGGGGTGAAGGTGGGGGTGGGGGTACGGACCTTCATTGTTAGGAGGTGGGCGTATCTGACCTAGGCTGGGCTGTGTGGTCTTGGAAAAGGAATTAATCTCGAAACGCTTCCTCTCCCCCAGGAGTGGTCCCGAGGGACAGTAAAGTAGGAGAGAAGGATGGTGGTCTTTGTATCTTCACTCTTGGCTGTGGGCATTTTCAAGCATATAAAATGCAGAGAGCAGAAGGACTCCAGTGACCAACGTCAACCATCAACCATCAGCAACCTGGCTGGCCCTGCTCCTGGTCTGCCTCTGCTCACACCCCAACCCAGTTGATGAGGAAAACATCCCCGGCGCCCTGTAAGACCACCCATCAGTATATTTAAAGTGAGAGCCACACAGCTTAAAGGGCTAGAGGCCTTTCGGATCAGATCAACTGTTTCTAGTCCATTGGTGTCAGGGGTGAGACTGCTTTCTCAATGGCTCCCCCTCTCCCCCTGGTGTGTTTCAGCAGCTACTGCGGGGCTGGGCAACCCCCTCCCAGCCCCACCCCCAGAGTCCAGAGAGAAGGCCCCAGGTAAGTGACAGAAGGACAACCCCTGTCCCTCTCCCCCTTCACACCCGGGAGTCCCAGGCCAGCACTCGAGGGAGGAGGCTGCAGGAGCACTGGGAAGGCCCACCTGGGTATCCTGGGGTCGTGCCAGGTGCTCACACCCGTCTGCGTGTGCAAAAAGTAAACTTGCCCCTGGACAGTGGTTCTTTGTTCTGCAAAGTACAATTGGGGGGGTGGGGGTGGGGGGTCTGGTTGGTT